CACGCTTTCATTTAGCTGCTATAACAAAGGATGTTATGACTACCTTTCAAAACACAGAAAGACGCAGGATTTCAAGAATACATGGACGGGAAATAATAATAATAAATAATGTTTCGAGAAAGCAGTTGTTTAATATATATTCACTTGGTATTCATTATATTGATCATTATCTTTCAACAGTGTCAATTTTACTTTTGCTATTTATGGGATATTTTACACAAATTTCAAATGTCTCATCATGTGTTTTTGCTTGTTTAATGAATACTTTTCCTTTTATTTCAAATATTAAAATCGCTCGTCCCCTGCCAACTCGATTTTAGATTTAAACATGTATGATTTTGCTCTTCAACTTATATTTATTTGTAGTAAAATGTAATTATAAACTAAAGGCAAAATAACTGACAAGAATGTGACCCAAAACAAATACAGGGGGGCGTCAGCGATTCTACAACATTAATACACTGGGCAAGGTAGATGCTACGCTACATGCTTACACAAAGGGAAACCACTCCCATCTAGAGTATAAACTATGATTAGCTGCCCTTGAGTTATCCAAAAGGTCACGGACGTTACTAATCGCTTGCAGACCACTTTTTATCTTTCCCTTGATTAGCGAAAAGGTATGTTGTTTCAAACTTCTCTCAGCATTGAGTCCGGTGGGCATAGTACTTTTACTTTTAGCTATCGATTCGATAGTTAAGTGGTTCACTATTGCAATTAACGATATTTCTGACGTTAAATCTGTTATGCGTTCTTCATGTTGTTAAAGTGTCGATTCGAATCATAAAGTTAACAAAATAAAGAGGCAATGTTTGAACATAAGGCAGAATATTTATGTGAAACAGACCAAGTCATGCAAGTCATGAAGTTTATTCAGGGACCACAACCATCTTAGCTACTTAAGATTGGTCTGGACCAATTGTAAGTTTCGCTTGTAGGTTACAATTATCTTAGCCTACAATCGTTTTGTTCAAGTGGACAGCGATTGTATCCGAAGCCTAAGATCTCGATCTTAAGGATTTACAATAATTGTAGTGCTAAGATTGTTCTGTGCAAGTGGACCCAGCAATGTTTTTACCTGCACTGGTGGGACTTGTATGTAGAGAAATCGATCCCCGTAATTGAATGTGATTATGGCTATTAATGTAGTGTTTAAGTAAGAGTATAGACAAATACTACAATGACAATGACAGATGTTTCTAGGTATATTCCTTTTTTATCAACAAGTCATTAAAGCCTATTGATGAATTTCAAAACAATTGTCATACACACTGGTATACCATAATGACATTATAGATTGAACTAAATACCTTCTACAGCAGTTTAATATCATCTAACAGTTCTAGAATAGCTAAATATGCAAACAAAAGAATCGACATGTTTTTACACTACAGACGACTTACTGTACAATAACTTACATGTCTGAGTAGTGGAAGAAAAATTACATTAAAAAAAATATCTGCCATGTTGGTCATGCTCAAAATCAGATAAAAAATTTGAATGCATTTCTGATGACTTTATCCCGGGACCACCAAAAAAATGACAGCTTCATAACAATTGTAGGTTATTAAAGAAATGTAAAAATAAAGCATCACTGCATTGAAAGATTACATTAAGGTTAAAGTTCATGAATGTGCAAGTTATTGATATACACAAAACAGAACCTCGTGCAACAATGTCACCATATTTTGAATTACATGAGAAGTCTGTGCCCCAAAAATGATGTGTCAACTAGCCCGAACAGGATTTTAGTGTTGTCATATTGACTATTATTAATTGGACTTACTACATAGAGCACAATGTTACTAGACTTGCGTTTCAAACTTGGGGACTTTTCAGGAAGAATTGCTCAAGCAAAACATGTTATATGTTTACAGTATAAAGAATTAGTACATGCATTATAGTATTCTTTAAAGTACCAGACAACAGGCTACCGCTTGCTACTTGAATTCCGAAATGAAAAGACATTGATACTTCATTGTGTTCAGCATTATACAGTGCAGTCTGGTGAGTCCCATTATCATGTAAAGAGTTAGAATATATTATAGCAGTTGCCTTATTAGTCCATAGCAATTTGTTATCTGCAAATATAATAAAAAAATATTGGACATTACTGTTTAATTGGATTAGGAATTCTAAAGAGAGAAGATAAGTACGTAAAATATAATTCTAACAGTATGTTTAGAGAAACAAGATGATATTTTTTTAGATGAGAAATTAAATTTGTCCTCAGTTTTAAGAGGCTTGGATAAACCCTGTAGTGACCAGGCTTCATGGTCTAGTGCACAACATTTACAATGTAGGTCTAAACTAAACAGGGGGCCCTAGCACTTGACTGTACATCTTCCACAAACAGCCTGTCAGCTGAAAAGGAACAGAGCAGTTTTCATTATAATGTTCAATTCTTCCAATCCAGGTGCGAAGAGTTTTAATATTTATAATATTAATTAAAAAAACCCATATACTTTATGCTGACATCCCTAGCACCGGTTAAAATGATGGTGCCTCGCTCGTATTACTTTCCCGATTTCTATTACACCGGAGACACTTGTTTCAGAATATGATGAGCCAACTTGACTCTTGTTTGTCAGGTAATATTATCAATACACCAGGTAGGCACATTGCACAAACATAACTTGAGAAAGACAGAGCCGAGTTCAACCAAAAATAAAACAACAAGGTAGTGCACATTTAGCTCTGTTGTGAGGAACATACTGATTTAACAACTAAAGTGGACACTTTCTGGCACTTTTTACAAACATACATAACCTGAAGATACAATATTAATTGTGTTATGACAAAGCATGTGCAGATAGTTGTGGGAATCTTGGTTTGTCTCTTACAAACTTATACAAACAGTCTGTATTCATAATAATCAATAGAATTAGCAAATTATTATACTACAGTGTAAGATTATTAAAAAAATTGAACTGTATATTTTTGTTTGTTTATTGTTTAATGCTGTACTAAGCAATATTCGTGCTTTGACAGCTGCCTGTAAATCATCAAATCTGGACCTGACAAAGAAACAATACAGATGTAGACCAGTGTAATTAACTAACAGTTAGGGAAAAGGTGATCATGACTTGTTATAAAGTCTATCAGCCTCTCAACTATCAACAAACATTTACAAAACAATCACTTTCACCAGCACTTTGAGAATACCAGGGTCACGTGATGGTGTTTTGGAGCATTTTCAGTTGTTTGGGACTTCAGAGATTGAATCAATTTTCTGCCTCGGATGCATACTGCTGAAATGTAAACAAAATATGATTTATAATGGTATATATGAGTCATTTTCAAAAGATGTCACTATTTCTGTCCAAACCCTTTAAAAAATTAAATATATATATATTGACATTGCAATTTGTACAGATTATCACCTGCAAAGTAATGCACAGAATAAAATGGTTATTTTACATCATTGTGTCATATTATGTGTTTTTGATGCGTTTTATATGGGTAGAGAGTGCATGTTTGGCTGTTCCAGTGCATTTAGCTTCAAATTTGAGAAACTGTCATTTTATAAACATTGGCATATATATGATATTACTGTGGTTATCTTATACAAACAAGATTTATTTAGGAATTTCAGTGTGTAATCTCAATCTAACTGATATAATTCCTGAATAATAATTATATATAACACCGTCCTTAGATTTTGTGTCTTTCCTGTAACACTTAATAAAACTTTGGAATAATCAATGATCCCCGATGCAAGGATATCAGTACTTTCTGTCATGCCTAGTACCATTTCCTATACAATAGGTATGTGATGTGCCATGTGCACCAAGAGACAAATAAGCACCAAAAGTTAACCAAAATGGTAAGTAACTGATTGGTATTTTCATTTCATGTCTTTCCCATAACGCTATGATTCAACGGAACAGATGCAAAATAGTTATTTCAAGTTCCAAGTTTATGTGCCAAATCATGAACAGAAAATTGTGTGAACATTCAGCTCCAAAAGGGACCATTAATTAGTCAATATATTTTTTTATCAAATGATTTGTCTTTCCTGTAACACTAAATTTTGTTACAGCTGAGACGGATTTTGTTATGATAATGACTTTCTTCACTTAATAAGCTATAAAGTAAGAAAACTACTACTTTCTGTTCTTTTTCAACATTCCAACTGAATATTTTAATTCAGCAGTTTGAAAGACAAAGTTGTATTTTATCATTTTGAGTAACATTGTCAGAACATATGATTTTTATAAGAAATGTGTTACAGTAGAGACCTATGTTTTTATTGTAATGACATTTTGCAATTGAAAAGTTATAAAGAAACAAAGTAAATTACTCTCTGTTCTTTTTCAATATTCTAATTAATTATTTCAATCAAGCAGTTTGTAGGATAAACTTGCACTTCATCATTTGATGCAAGTTATTGAAACACCTAATTGTTATAAGAAATGTGTTACGGCAAAGACAGTTTTGCTTCAGTAATGACATTCTACATTTCCATAAGACAATCAGAAACAAAGTAACTACTCTCTGTTATGATTGATGATATATTGTACGAAAGGGATCAATGAGATTTTAGTTACTTGTTCCTAAGCTTGCTAAAATAAGTGTTTATGATTTCGGAGTTAATATGGTACCATGGTAATAGAAAAGACAAACTTTACATTTAATATAGAATCATGGCAGTGATCATGAAGTACTTAATAGCTTATGGGTATTTTTTATTTAAAAGGTCAAATAAGTTTTAGAATTTGAGTTTTGGAGAAAAACATTTCTCCACTGCACTAAAATTCAACTCTCCACGCTTTTTTATTTTCTGAAAAGGTATAATAATATTCTTGATCTGTTGATGTTATGGCAAAGGCAAACACTCAAGTATGATAATGTATAGATTTCATTACATCATCAAAATAATTTGAAATTCACTTATGCTGATTTCATGAAGGTTTACTGAATAGCAATGTGTGCTTGACTGGAAAACAAAGCAACACCAAAGTGGAACTTCAGAGTGGAACTGTACAACTAAATTAACCATGGCAATGACAAATGGTGAACTGTATCCTTGTACTGTGTTATCAAATGATAACTGCTAACCATCATGTGGCAGTGTACATTTCTTTTGGGACAATTGACAAAGCAGCAGAAATGAGAGTGAGAGTAGTCCCTGAACTTGTTGCCAATGAAGCCAAACATCTTGATGGACATTTCCCGTCTCAAGGCATAAAGGAAGGATGTCAGTCTAAAGAGACATAACTTGCCACGTCATTATGCTCAGTATTCTGACATATATGTTCCAGGAACTTGTCTCACAGACAACAAAGTCCAAAGCATGAAGGCTGAAATTGAGGGGGCTAGTGATGGAGAGAAGGTGAAGGCTGAAGATGAGAAAACTATAGTGATGGAAAGAAGGTGAAGACTGAAGATGTGGAGGCTAGTGATGGAGAAAAGGTGAAAGCTGAAGATGAGGAGGCTAGTGATGGAGAGAAGGTGAAGGCTGAAGATGAGAAAACTAAAGTGATGGAAAGAAGGTGAAGCCTGAAGATGAGGAGACTAGTGATGGAAAGAAGGTGAAGGCTGAAATTGAGGAGGCTAGTGATGGAGAAAAGGTGAATGCTGAAATTGAGGAGGCTAGTGATTGAGAAAAGGTGAAGGCTGGAGATGAGGGGGCTAGTGATGGAAAGAAGGTGAAGGCTGAAGATGAGAAAACTATAGTGATGGAAAGGAGGTGAAGACTGAAGATGGGGAGGCTAGTGATGGAGAAAAGGTGAAGGCTGGAGATGAGAAAACTATAGTGATGGAAAGAAGGTGAAGGCTGAAGATAAGAAAACTATAGTGATGGAAAGAAGGTGAAGACTGAAGATGGGGAGGCTAGTGATGGAGAAAAGGTGAAGGCTGAAGATGGGGAGGCTAGTGATGGAGAAAAGGTGAAGGCTGGAGATGAGGAGGCTAGTGATGGAGAAAAGGTGAAGGCTGAAGATGGGGAGGCTAGTGATGGAGAAAAGGTCAAGGCTGAAGATGAGGAGGCTAGTGATGGAAAGAAGGTGAAGGCTGGAGATGAGGGGTCTAGTGATGGAGAGAAGGTGAAGGCTGAAGATGAGGGGGCTAGTGATGGAGAAAAGGTGAAGGCTGAAGATGGGGAGGCTAGTGATGGAGAAAAGGTGAAGGCTGAAGATGGTGAGGCTAGTGATGGAAAGAAGGTGAAGGCTGGAGATGAGGGGGCTAGTGATGGAGAGAAGGTGAAGGCTGGAGATGGGGAGGCTAGTGATGGAGAGAAGGTGAAGGCTGGAGATGAGGGGTCTAGTGATGGAAAGAAGGTGAAGGCTGGAGATGGGGAGGCTAGTGATGGAAAGAAGGTGAAGGCTGGAGATGAGGGGGCTAGTGATGGAGAGAAGGTGAAGGCTGGAGATGAGGGGTCTAGTGATGGAAAGAAGGTGAAGGCTGGAGATGAGGGGGCTAGTGATGGAGAGAAGGTGAAGGCTGGAGATGGGGAGGCTAGTGATGGAAAGAAGGTGAAGGCTGGAGATGAGGGGGCTAGTGATGGAGAGAAGGTGAAGGCTGAAGATTAGGAGGCTAGTGATGGAAAGAAGGTGAAGGCTGGAGATGAGGGGGCTAGTGATGGAGAAAAGGTGAAGGCTGGAGATGAGGGGGCTAGTGATGGAGAAAAGGTGAAGGCTGAAGATGAGGGGGCTAGTGATGGAGAGAAGGTGAAGACTGAAGATGGGGAGGCTAGTGATGGAGAAAAGGTGAAGGCTGGAGATGAGGAGGCTAGTGATGGAAAGAAGGTGAAGCCTGAAGATGAGGAGATTAGTGATGGAAAGAAGGTAAAGGCTGAAATTGAGTAGGCTAGTGATGGAGAAAAGGTGAAGGCTGAATATGGGGAGGCTAGTGATGGAGAAAAGGTCAAGGCTGAAGATGAGGGGGCTAGTGATGGAAAGAAGGTGAAGGCTGGACATGAGGGGTCTAGTGATGGAGAGAAGGTGAAGGCTGAAGATGAGAAAATTCAAGTGATGTAAAGAAGGTGAAGCCTGAAGATGAGGAGATTAGTGATGGAAAGAAGGTGAAGGCTGAAATTGAGTAGGCTAGTGATGGAGAAAAGGTGAAGGCTGAAGATGAGGAGGCTAGTGAAGGCGAGAAGGTGAAGGCTGAAGATTAGGAGGCTAGTGATGGAGAAAAGGTCAAGGCTGAAGATGAGGGGGCTAGTGAAGGAGAAAAGGTGAAGGCTGAAGATGAGGAGGCTAGTGAAGGAGAGAAGGTGAAGGCTGAAGATTAGGAGGCTAGTGATGGAGAAAAGGTCAAGGCTGAAGATGAGGGGGCTAGTGAAGGAGAAAAGGTGAAGGCTGAAGATGAGGAGGCTAGTGAAGGAGAGAAGGTGAAGGCTGAAGATGAGGAGGCTAGTGATGGAGAAAAGGTCAAGGCTGAAGATGAGGGGGCTAGTGATGGAAAGAAGGTGAAGGCTGGAGATGAGGGGTCTAGTGATGGAGAGAAGGTGAAGGCTGAAGATGAGGGGGCTAGTGATGGAGACAATCATCCCAAAGTTACAGAAGACTCCAGAATCATCTCATTGTGAGGTTGACAATAACATTTGGTCTACAGTTAAAAGCCACTATGAAGGGGTTTAATGTCTTGGGAAGACAGCTATAATCTTTCAACTTTCTTCTTAGATGGCTTGATGTTTTAAGTGTTGTATTCCAGGTTGTTGTTTAGATTCTTACTTGCAATTGTAAGTTGTGTTCTTCTAATTGTAGGTCATGTGTTTTCTGACATTTTCTGAAATGTTCATTCTACAAGTTGACTAAGTCTTTGTTGTTTCAAGTATAACACCATTCTTTTAGCAAATACCTTCAGTGTTTCACAATATTACAATACTCAACCTCAAACACTTTGTATTTTATTGTTGATCATAGAAACGATAAAAACACATGAAAACCATTCTTTAAATGTCTTTCATGTAACAAAATATTGTCCTCACCATAACTGTCTTCTATCACAACAATCTGGAGATTTCACAATGAGATGGAAATATGACTATAACTACATCTAGTGGTACCCCTGTTTGGTAAACCTTTGTTTACTTATGATAGTGAACTAACTAGGCTGACTAAAACTTCGTTTCACATTGTCATTACTGTTACGTCTTAAGTCTTTCCTCTAACAGTTTTAATGTAGGTCATAGGAAACATTCTTCATATTAATCATTTAAAAATATAAATATCACAAACATGTGCATTGTAACATTTTCTATTACAGTAAAAATGCGGAAACTGCTTTGTGATCTAAAATGTCATCTTATGGTAATTTGTTCTGTCATGTAACAAACTTTTGTCCTTACTGTAACATATTTTGGAATTAATCCTTTAAAAAGTTGGAATAAATTTATAAATATCACTGAAAAAGATAATGACTGGTATTTCTTTTGCAAGCATTGTTGTATACATGAGAAACGTTTGAGATAATCTTTACCACTCTTTTCATACTGATGATATGAATTTGCAATGTCTTTTCTGTAACAAATATAGTGAATCATGTAACATGCATGTCTTTCCTATAACGCACTAATTAAAAATATATATATATCTAAATATGTCTTGAGTTTCAACAATGAGACATAAGTTGATCATAGTTTATCTTTGTTTATCAAATAAAAAACCTTCAAGAAATTTGGAAAATTTAGAAATCATAATATTTATTTCGAAAGGGTAACAGTATTTCATAGAATTGACACTGAGTACATATTGGTCATTAAGAGACTGAATAAATGCCCTTCATCCTCACTTCGATTTTAATATACAAATAAATGAAGAAATAAATATGTTTTGTATGTGCTTTTTGCATTTTCATGAATTTCAAACCAAAATATTTCACACAAACATTGTAATGGGAAAGACATGCCAAGTTTCAGTTGCCATGGTAAGTGGTTATTCCTCTTTCTTAAAAGCACCATTAAGACTTCTATTTGATGTTACTGACAGCTTCAGATATTTGTTACTCCATTTAAACAAAAAAAAGATATTATATCAACCATTGGATTTTGTAATTCTGGAAACCTCAAAAATCTTTTGAAAATGACTCATATATGTAAGCACTAATTACTAGTAAGTACTACCAGTTTGACCAAAAGAACCGAGCGAGTATGAAAAGGAACGTGACCCAATCGTCTTTGGACGCAAGTGATTCACCTCAAAACATTAATAATGATCAATGGTTACCGTATAATATTCTTCATGATAATGTAGATTCTATTTGTTATTATTTAACAACCACAGTATATTTCAAGTGCTACTTCTACATCTAGAAAGCTAGCTGTTTACAGGCTGAAGTTGCTCTGCGGTAATGTTTTTATTTTTCTGTTGAGACAGAGCCGGCTTGCATACCGTCTACGAAGACGCGTTGACTAATGAAAATCAAAGACTTGCTCCTTTGCCGTTAGCTAGTAGTAGCAGTAAATGTTAGTCTCCAGAGACGTAGAGGCCGTCTTTGTACCTACTAGTAACAGCTCACAGTTGCTAACAAATCTGTGTTAGTAGTAAGTAATATTTCCTGGATCGGGTGACGCTGATCACTATCGGATTAAGAAGACTTTTAATGAATGATTACAGTAATTCGTTGCAAATTAGGTGTGTCGGAGTCGGAGTGCGAGACTGTCGGATTATCGGGTCTAAATAGCATTGATTTAGACGGTTCCTATCATTAATGTCGGATAAAGCCGATTGTCGGATTAACGAGTGTCGGATTAATGACATTTGACTGTACTTAACAAGAGCCAAGAATATCACTTTGTTGTTTTTGTAAGACAAAAAAAGAACTCTAAACATAACATCACACTTTTGCAAGATGTTTGAGAAAAAGGGATTGTGAGCAATTCCGAGAAGAATCCAGGCCAAGCTCAGGGAGGATAACTGCATCATTTTTATCTACTCAGACACGCAAAAAGAAGAGGACAGACAGTACACACAATGCAGAAGAAATGTGACGCATTACAGACAGTGGAATACGAAATGAAGCCAAAAACAGAGATCACAAGGTATTTCAATACACCTTTAAAAGGCTATCTACATGGCTACAATACAATGACAAGTTTATGAAGTTTGCTTGATAGATTAATAGATTCTGTATTGTCTTTAAGAAAGAGTCAAATTCAGTAAATACCAGTCTGGAAGCATGGAACAAATACATTTCAATTTGTCATTGCATACACATGTTAATTTTACTGTGTGTAAGCATATTAGTACGGATTTGTGATACTGTTTCTTGATGTGTATGTCTTTCCATGTCTCACTATATCAAATATGCAGATATTTACAGTCTGCTACTGTACTTTCATTATCATTCAGTATTATAGATATTTCTTTTAAGGTCGTTCTGACATGACCCGTAATGGGATGTCCTCATATCTTTGTTAAGCGATAGCGAGAACTAAGATCTTATTTTAATGATTTTACAGATCTTGTAAATATGTTCACACAAACAAAAGCATAAAATTATTAAAGTATTATTACTTAAATAGTATTATTATTATCACGAACGTCATACCTTGTAGCATGCAATGACATCAGTCCATATTATGAAGTATGCTGATGATTGCAATTCTGAAGAAACTGCCTCAAACATACAATTAATACCACTTGTTAATGATATGTGAAACAGTTTTCTTGATAGTGATATTGAGTAAGTAATACAAGTGATGTTCATGATTGTATAATGCACCTGTTTTGAATATAACTTGCATGAATAAATTCAACATGATGTTTGCAAATTATAAAAATATCATTAGAAGGCAAGTTTTATCATGAGCAAAAATATGGGACATATTCCTGAGACACCAAATACATAATAAGGAAATATAATTAGGACAATGACTGTTACAAATGAGATGCAACAAACATACTCAACCAGTTATCAACATGCAGAATGTGCAAACATATTTTGAATGAAATATGCCTTACTGGTCCTTCACTTTTCACAATATTTGCACTGAATCAATTTATTGTCTTTATACGCCACTAGATTAAAGTGGAAACACGTTATCCAGTATGTTAAAATATATATATAAAATATGTTAGTGTACGGCTACAAATTATGATATCGGACGGGCAAAATTAGCTAAATTAGTAATTGCAGCGTGTGGACGGCGACACGTGGGCTACAGTAAATCTGTAAACATGGTGACATGACATTAACAATGAGATTGGGTACACTATTCTGCGATATAATAAATCAAAACTAAAAACAGTTAGGCTACAATAAGAAACATATTATTGTGCATAGCCGAGCGCTGATCCTGGATGAGAAAGGATAGGTGAATGTCATGCCCAAGCGGCCCGGATTTGATGCGAATGATGTTTTTTTCTCATTTGCAACTCTTGAAAGAATATGTAACAGTTCATTCCTACTTTACAAAATTAAGTTGTATATGAATACATGTTGATGTTTTTTATGTAGCATTTCGAAACTGAAGCGATTGAATTACACGTCCATGTTAATATGGTTACAGGCTGCATAGGCTCTGCGGTTATGTGCAAGGCGTAGAGACGGAGCACAGCCGATAACAGACAACAAACCAAACTACGTATGTAAGGCACACTGTGAGTGGTGCTCTATTTGGCTGCCATCCTCCCTATGCCCGTCTAGTTCCGACGCGACGCTATGAGACCAGCACAAAGGTCCATGGACTCGACATAGGACAGGCATGAGCATGCTGTGGGCTGTGGTAAACTTAAAGTACTCTCCCTCAATGTCTGTGGCATAAGATGGTTAAATCCTGAATTATTCAGAATTTAAGTCACTATGATGTTCTTTGCCTCACGGAGACAAAGCTTTCATATATCGATGATAATGATCCACCTGGTTTTCATGTTTTTGCAAATAACCGTCACAAAAATGTTTTAGCTGGAGCTTCTGGTGGAGTAATCATCGTGGTGAGAACTGAACTCGCTAAACATATCTCCTTACTTCACAAATCCCTTGATTTCGCATTATGGTATAAAGTATCAAAACTCTTATGCATGATACTGATGACCTCATAATATGTTGTGCATATAATCCCCCAGACAGTAGTAAGTATGTCTATAATGAAATATTTGATACCTTGGAACAAGATTATCTTGATATTTCTAGCAGCTACAAACATGTTTGCATTACAGGTGATTTTAACACGCGAACGAAGATGCTTTATGATTATGTCATAATAGATGACTTCCTACTGCATAACAGTCTTGCAGACGCCAGTATTACGACACAGTGTGAAACATTTCAAAACAACAACGCTTCACGGCACAGAACCTCAATGGATCTATCAGTTAATTCAAAAGGTTAAAACTTGTGTAGAAATAATAATGTCTTTATTGTAAATTGACGATTCGGTGATGATAAAGATGTTGGTAAATTCACATGCAAGGAGTCAAGCATTGTTGACTATTGTATTGTATCACCTGAAACATTCTCCATAATGTCTGACTTCGAAGTATTAGATTTTGATGGTATTATATCAGATATACATTGTGGAATTATGTCCTGTTATAATTGTAATGATGTTGTCACACCTAGTGACTCCACAAAACCAACTGAGAC